TCTTGTGCAGTTTTTTTGGTGAAACATCAAATTGCCCAGGTACTCAGCACCCCCTACAGCCCAGATTTGGTGCCCTGTGACTTCTGACTTTTCCCAAAACTAAAGTCACCGTTGAAAGGAAAGAGATTTCAAACGGTTGATGAGATTCAGGAAAATACAACAGGGAAGCTGATGGCGATTGGGAGAACTGTGTGAGGTGCCAATGTGCCTACTTACAAGGGGACTGAGGCATCCTTGTCCTGTGTACAATACTTCTTGTATCTTGTATCTTCCTCCATAAATGTCTCTATTTTTCATGTAACATGGATGGGTACTTTCTGGACAGACCATGCAGAAATCTAAACAATGAAGTCTTCCTGGTAGACTTGTTTCCCGACCCATGCTAAAAGGGCGTTAGGGGCAGGATTTTTCTGCCACGATAGATCTCAAATAATGGCCTTTTGCAGGGTTCACATAACTTTTTCATAGATGTTATCTTCTCACTTTTAGTTAAATGCAGTGATGATTTATAAAAGATACACGTCTGTTCCTTAGTTACTTGACTCTTCAGATGCAACATGAGGACGGTCATGTGTGAGTCACACCTTGCCAGGTGTTGCAAAGAGTTATCCCTTTTCTTCCCAAGATGGCTGGTGACAATTCAAACTGTGAGAGGTGGCCTTTCTCATTCTCCCTGACCCCATATTATGTTTATGGGCAGTTTCTGCTGGCATTGGTTGGAATCCGTATTAGGTAACTAAGGGAAGAACTACTTTTAGTGTAAAAAAAAGGTCAAATACAGTTAAAAATGAAATATTCTTGTATACGGAAATGGTCGGAATTGTAGCAATCTTGGTGCCAGATGAACCCTGGATATTTCTGAGAAGGAGAATTGATCAGCATGGAGCCCTGATTTCCTGAGGCAAAGAAAGAATCGCTCACGACCAGACACTGGGATCAGAACTGTGGGGGTGTTCCTTATCCACATTTTTCGCTCCCATAGACCATTAAGGTGGTCCCATCGGGTCTCAAAATAAATCCCAGAGTTTTACACGCTTATTCATATTGTTCAAGTATCAGATTAGCTTCTACCAGTCTTGCCATCCTGGTTGGTAAAAACTGGGAATACACATGGTGGGGAAAGAAGTCTAGCTCAGATTTTGGAAGGTGAAGCTTTAAATCATACCAGATCATAAATACTCAGCAGCCCATATGTAAATGCATAGCAGGTGTAGCTCAAAGTTCCAACAGAGTCTGCGTGATTCTGTGAGCAGAGAAGCTGTCAAACGGGTGTTTTATTTAGTATTTAATGGGGGGGGGAGTACAGCAGCCCCTTTTCCATACAGCACAGGGCACGTCCCCTTTCCGAGTGCAGGGACTTTACGTCCCCGCAGTCCTGGGTCATTGACGGTGGGCAGTGAGGGCGACGGGACAAAAGGCCTGATTCCAGTTTCCTCACCACCGTCCCCGTCCATCCCAAAGTTCTCGTGTTTTATCCGGTGAGGCCACAGGCCTGAAAAACGGTGACACACAGCAGGACCCACCAATGGTGGCCGCTAGGCCTTCTCCAGACCTGCGCCTTTCTGTTTCCTGGGTGCGTGATTTGTGCCACGTAGCGATCGGACTCCAGGGCCCCTCCAGGGCCCGTCCAGGGAGGTCCCCTGAGCAGGGACCGGGACACGAGGACCAGTGAAACCCGATGCCATAAGTCTCAACACTGAAGAGTCCTACATCGAGCTAACACAGCGTTCAGTAACAATGTTCTGCCTGCTACCTTGACGCAAACGCTTTTGTAGCAACTGGGAACTTGGGTGTAGGTTTAGAGCCGTGAGACTGCTCGGAGTTCTGTCCCTGTCAGCCCCGAGCAGCTGCAGGCTGTTCCCTTCCCCCTCCGCTCCTTCTTTCCCACCCCGGAGCTCCTGTGTTCGCTGCAAAGAGCCTCTGCTCGCGCCTGGGTGAGCTCCCCAGTGTGCACTCCCCGGCCCCGGCTGCTCACCTACCCCCATGGGGGTTCCCTCCAGGTTGACCCCTTGTGCTCGGGGCATGAACTCCTGGGGCGGCCTGCCGTTGGGAGTCTGGACTCCCAGGAGAGGTGCACGCACGCCCGAAAATGTGGAGGACATTGGGTAGGGAATTCCAGGTTCCTCGCTACTGAGATGAAGGGGGAGGAGGATCAGAATGGGGAGGAGGACCCTTTAAGCAAGGGCTTCTCTTTGCTGGGACGGCAGCTCCTCCTCCCGGCTTGGGTCACAAACAAAGCACTGTCACCTCCTGGCAGGGCGGCCCAACTCCTCTCCGGTAAAGATCACTGCTTTCCACGGAGCCGAACCTTTGGACCAAGATGTCTTTGAAGTCTTAGGCTCATCAAACGGTGTAGATGGAAAGAACCATAATTTACTTTGCGGTGAAGTAAACGCCACACACAAGACTGCACTGACACACCTTAAAGGTTAATCCAGATACAGGCAGAACGAGAACGAGGACCCTAAGTGTGTGAACAGTTCAGTGCCCACTTTTCAGCCCACTCATGTTCTTAAGACCTAATCTTACACATGGAGCCTGCTTTGCAAGAATGCCAGAAAGCGAGCAAACAAACAAAAACCCACAAGCTGGGGTTTCTTCAAAGAAACACACGCTTTAGAGGAATCTGAGAATCCAGATTCAAAAGAACATTTCATCCCCAGGGGTTAGATACCTAAAAGTGAATTTTTATTAAAAGCAGATCACATCATTTTGGGAAATTCATAAAACTATATCTGAATACACTGAATGCAATATATTCCTCCTCAATTTAGATTCCTCGGGCCTCATAAAGATAAAATGCAGATGGAGTGATTTGGATCAGGCCTTCATTAAGTTTTAGAATTAGCTTCTGGAATCCCGGGCACTGAAATGAAGTGTGCAGTGTGACTCCCGAGCGTGGCGACAAGGAGTGTGTCATGGCTGGAAAGGACACGGGCTGCCTTTGGCTTGTGCTAATGAACAGTAAGACAAAGCAGATCCCAGCTTTCACAGGGAAAATCTGCCTCATCATGAGGAGTCTCAGGCCCTGTGTGTTCTTGGCATTTTCACGTGTAGTCTTGGGTGAGCTCGATGGATAATTTGCTGTTTATATTTCTCATGTAAATCTCCAGTTGCTGGTTGGCCACTCTGGCACTCAGCCAGAGCTCTAATTTATTTCCATCTTTCCTTATTTCTTACAGCGAAAGAGACCGTGGGTTAGAATAACAAACATTCAATTGACTCAGGCGTGGGGTGGCAGGCAGGGCAGGTGTTACCTGTTTACCTTTTATTGCCTTCTTGGAATTGGCTTTTCTGGGAACAAAACCAATAAGACACACTGTTCCTTTATCTAGTTTTTAGCTGGGTTATTTATCAGAAGGCATTATGCTCCCCCACCCCCACCCCCACCCTACCCCGTTTCAGCAAGGAGCGGGAAAAAATGTGGGGCAAAGGATTCAGATAGGAAGCGGGTTCCCAACCTACCTCCACCAGAGCTCACTGTGCTACCCGGTCATGTACGACCTCGTTTCTTTAAGGCTCTGGTTTGGGTTGATAATTGTTTCTGGGTCCAGGAGGAGAGGCTGCTGCTACGAACATATCTGTCACCTGCAGGCTGAGTGTGCCGGGGAAGCAATGCACACACTGTGTCAGCCACCCTGAGACCCCGCGCTGCCTTCCCCTACCAGCCCCCCTTGCTGTCTTGCACGGTAATTGGCCTAATAAAAGGCAGAAACAAGAATGTATTACACCTTGGGCGGTACTTAAAACAAACTTTATTCTCAGGAACAGCAGTTATGTCTACTTGCTGCTGTATATTTGATATTTCCTCTAAATAGTTCATCTGAATATATTCAAAGTCCAATTGCTAACCACTCAATTTCCCTGCGACTCCCCTGGTTCCCCGGGTTGCCCCTCATGACACTTGTGTAAACACTGTATTTGGAAAGATACATAGATCAGCGTCCCTAGAGTCACATGGTCCCATCGATCTGTGAAAATAGCATGACTGAAAAATAAAAGTCTCTTAGTACTCTGCCAACAGGCTTTGGCATAATCTTGGCAATCGCTTAGATTTTTTTTTCTGTTATCATTTTCCCAAGTGGAAATAGTCTCATATTTTGCAGAAGCTGTCCAAGCTAGGGAACATGATCCCGTCTTCCTGGGTGAACTGAATTCGTCAGCTGCGTGTATTCAGTCCACACGGAAATCAGTAAAGTGAGTGTGAAACGGCTCGGTGGCTTCTCCTTGCGTCTTAAGAAACTGCAATACAAATTCCTGAAATCATTTCTGCAGGAATTTTTATTCTTTAAATCTTCCAGTGTTAAAGCAACAAGAAAACACTTAGAATGTCCTTTGGTGGAATCTTATTACACTTGTTATATATGTAAACTGATATTCTTTGATGCCAGCACGTTCGTTGCCCTTACAGAGAAACCTCTGCACAGTGAAACAAAACAGAACGGAAGAGGACAAAGTAAAATGTCAGTCTCTGCTGATTCCAATGAGATACATGAACAGATTGTCTGGTAACACAAACTGGCAAGAATACAAAAAAATCTACATATTACAGTATTTCAAGAAAAATAACTTCATTTGAATACAAAAGGATAGATACACTTTCTCTTTTCCCTATGGCCACTCTCGGACGGCGGGCGCGGCGCGGGCACCGGGCGCTGGGAGGACTCAGTGCGGCTTGGGCAGGCGGGGCGCGCCCGGCTTGAGCTTCTGGAGGGGTTGGTACACGTGTGCATCACCGACATCAGACAAAGAAATCTTTCGACCAACGAGGGTTACAGAGCAACGTTCACTAAAGCACAGGTTGGAAGGGAGTCAGGGGCTGAGACGCCCCGGCGGGCGGCAGCTGGAACAGGTGTGCGCGCACCCGTGCTGCCGCGCGCGCGCGGAGAGCGCTCCGACTCGGTGGGCCCCGCTCTGGGCCGAGCGGCACTGGGGCGCGCCGCGTGCGAGTACCAGCGCTCATTAGGTCGGTTGATTTGTGTTTCAGTCTTTCCTGTTGGCCGGGGGGGGGGCGCAGCGGGGCGGTGTCCCAGCCTTTCCCACCGGCAATCAGCTCTGCGCAGGCCACGCGATCTTCAGTGACACTAACCAGCCGCTGCCCGCTCCGGAGTCAGAAGGGAACAGACTCGCAGGTGCGCCCACGGCTGACAGATATGGCTTAGTTCAGTCGGGCCTCTTGAGTTCGTTCCCTGCGTCTGAGTGGGGGTGTCTGCGTGTGGGTTTCTAGGTCAGTGGCAAAGGCTTGGGCCGCGTTTGCTTCCCGAGGGCACAGGCCCGGCCGGTGGCTACAGCGCAGCCTAGATCACCAAGGGCCCGGCGGTGGCCAGCAGTGCGGTCACCAGCAGCGCCGGGCGGCGGAGCGCGGACGCCCCGGGGCCGGAGCCCGAGCCGCAGCCGCCGGCCTCCTCGCACCGCAGCTTCTCGCACAGGACGCCCGTGTAGGCGGCGGGGCACAGGCAGCGCACGTTGTTGTGACACGTCCCTCCGTTCTGGCAGTGCAGAAGCTCGTTGTCGCAGACATTGGCTGCAGAACGAGGGGGGAGGGGAGCGGGGCGCGGGGAGGAGAAGCAGAATCAATTTAAGTTCATCTGGTACATCATGTTTTCAGCTTAAAAGAAAATCTCTATCGATTCCGCGCTCCCCCCTCCCGGCTGCAAAGTAAGCACGTGACTCCCATTTCCAAACACAGGTGGTTTGCTGCCTTTGTTTGCACCATCCGCTCTTTTTCTACAGATTTTGGCTGCAACCTGAGATGGTACCGTTGTGCATTTCAGGCTATAGAGTATGGGGTAACGTCATACACCTGCTTTGGCAGTGGCTTCTCCCCGGACACCTGCGGTGACCTCCCGGGTTTTTAAAGGACAAGGGCCTCATGCAAGAATGCAGCACTTTGAAGCCAGGGGATGGTAATTAAAATGCAAAGCAGGACTGCTGAAATGACCAAGAGCCTCCAAGGGATGCGACGTTCTCCCTGCAGGTGATTCCAGTGTCGCATGCATGATGACAGAAGCCAACTGGAAGGGACAGGATGGGACAGGGGGCAGGCAGCATGCTCCAGGCGGCAGCCACACGGGAAGAGAGAAAGCTGTTTCTCTGAGAGGTGTGAAGAAGAGCAGTCGCTTCTTCTGCTCCTGACAGCCTATTAGGATTTTTATCCTCTTGTACATGTGGGAAGCAGCGTCCAAGGTTACCTTGGTTTCCCGGGGATAATAATAAATATGCAGTGGTGAAACCCTGATTACCCAAATTTCACTCTGTTCGCCGATCGATCACCTTCATTTGAATAAGTCAAGACAAGCAATTCCAGAGACTAAAATTCATTTGCGGTCCCTGTCATGTAACTTTCACCTCCGATAATTTCTTAGTTCTTCAAAATTCTGGTTATCCTCATTAACGCCAGGTTTCTGATTCGTTTAGATAATCAAGGTTTCACTGGTTTGGCAGAATGCTAAATAGAACCCAGGGACGGGAAGACAACAGCAGAGCAAAGAGCCAAGAGCACGGCCCAGCGACAGATGCTGCCCAAGCACTCCCCACGCGGAGACACTCTGGAGTGGGCGGTGGGGGCAGAGCAGAAAAAGGGGTTTGTTAAAAAATAAATTATACCATTTTTTCTTTCTTTTTTTTTTAATGCCATGGTTAAATTTCCCCAGGGTACCATGTGTGACTTAACCACACACATACATACACTCAATAGTCCTATCAATTGCAAAGTATTTAAAAAAAATAACCCCCGTCTCCCAAGTAATATAATTCAATAGAGAGTGTGGTCTTGTCATTACTCGTGTGCCATGGTCACGTCGCCTTCAGAAGTAGCTTCTTTCAGACACGCTAATTAACGGTCTGTGTGCAGCTGAGCTGAGGATAAATGGTGGGGGGTGCTCAGAGGGTGGAGGACCACGTGGCCTCGACAGGGCCCTGTGTGACCACCTTCCACAACTCCTTGGCGACTTCTTGGTGGCAGTCGCATAATGTGTTGGTGTAATTTTCAAATGGGCTCACGCTCCCTATCTGTCAATGACGGGAGTGACCACTAAGGCCTACTAAACCCTGCAGCTCCACATCTCGATGGACGAGGTGGTGTTCCAGCTATAAAGGACACAGCGGGTGGTTTTGGCTGTCATTGAGGCGGCGTAGACGTGGTGAGTGGGAGGCCCACGTGATAGTATTTTAGGAGTCAGGGTTTACAGTGTCAAGAGCTGTAGTCAGGAGGTCAAGGCTACAAGTGGAGAGAGATTAGATCATGGTCAAAGCTGACAAAAGCCTTCTCCTTCCTTTCGCTTGGTGCTAATTTGGAAAGCATGCATAGGTTTTCAGGATCATGCATAGGTTTTCAGGATTTTGTTTTGCTTACACTTCAGGAAATATCTGTTTAATTGGGGCCGCGTGGAATAAACACATCCAAATAACTCTCTGCATTTAAAGTTAAAGATTCTCAGCATTTTGATTCCAGGCAGCAGATTGCTGAATGGAATATTTCCTTTCATTTAGGTACTGGAGCTAAGGAAATAGCTGTTCCGTCAATATCGATAATTGCTTGCCTTGAGTAATTGAGAAGAAATCAATAGTTAATTAAATACTGGTCCCCTTTAAAAAAAAAAGCTGTTTTGCTTCTTCCTGGGCCTGAATGTAAATCAGCTGTTGAACACAGGTTTCTTTTTTCAAGAAGTTGGTGATTATGTTAAAATTCAATGCCTTTTCTACATTTAAATACTCCACTGGTTGATGTGGATGATTATGAGAAATTTAATACACAGACAAGGAACAAATGTAACCTCATGAACTAGGGGAATGTGTTTTCTGTAAGAGAGAAACAGGGGAAAGAAAGAAACCTAGAATCTAGTCCATTACTTTAGAATTCACTGTAAGACATGCGACATGCAGTCTCTTGATCGTGCTAGCCTTTCGACAGAGACAGAACCTGGCCCCTCTGTTGGCATCGTGTGCTGGAAACACATCTACCCCTAACTGCAGACCTTACCTGCTACTCATAAACTTATGCTCCATCTTTGTGTGTCTTTGAACCGAAACCGTGGTGCTCACTGAGTAACTGGGTGGTTAACCAATATCACTGAGCTCTTCCTCAGCATATGCAACTCTGTACTCAACACCACGAGGGCATAAAAGAAATATAAAGCTCAGCTCTTACGGAGTTCCAGTCTGGTGGGGAAGATAAAATATATACAAGAAATGATTTCGTATTAATTTCATTAAAATGCCCTCGTCAGTTCCAACCAGCTGAACCACCGTACCTGTGGTGTGCCAGGCATCCTGCTAGATTTTATAGTTGTTATTCTCCCTGCCCTAAGGGAGCTGACAGTTTGGCAGAAAACAAACACAATGAATGTGTACAGAAATAATTGTGATACAATATAAAAAAGACAGTAAAGGGAGCATTTGCAAACAGCTAGGGGAACTCAGATGCCAGTGAATAATTATTTGGGGGGAGATTAGAGTAGATGAAAGAAAGAAGACGGTCTTTGAACAGAGGTGTGCACCAGGCAGCTACGGCAGAGAGAGCGTTAGGGATGGGAAACGGTAAGTCAAGGCACAGAGGGGTGAAGGAGCCTTGTGCTGGTTATTAAGCAATGGTCTCCCAATTCTAAATCCACCCATTCTTCTGGTGCTGAGGCTGGAACCCTGCAAGTTGCTGTTGGCTTCCACCCACAGGGGGCGCTAGAGGAAGCAGAGGAGGTAAGAGGGAAGAAGAAGAGATTCCCCTCCCCGCCCCCTGCCCTGAGTTGTGTGGCTCTTCTTGACAGGATTGCCCCAGCAGTGGCCCCTCTTCCAACAGCTGCATTTGAATCCAGGGCTCAACATTTTTGGAGCCAGCTCCATCTCCCCCGTGGAGGTTCCTGCACCAACCTTGATTTGGACCTATCGACCTCAAGAGGGTGCAGGCTCTCTTGCAAGGGGGTCTTGTTACAAGCAGGAAAAGCTCATTAAGGGTTCGGGAGATATGGGTTGGCGACAGGGCTGATGGGTCATCGTGACAAAGGGCGAAGCTGCCGGAGTAGGCGACCCCATCCTGGTAGAACACAGATGAAGCAGAAACGAGAACTGGGGGCGGAACACTGGAGAGTATTAGCGTTCCCGCCGTAGGGAGAGAAACAATGACCATGAAGGATGCTGGGAGCAAAAGACGTTACCAGAGCGCAGGGAGGGCGTGAAATGAGTCACCGAGGGCCTCCGCGGCAGTGGCCTGGGACTGGGAACAAAGAGACCACAGGAAGTGTCTGAGAGGAACAGCACGTTGAGGTGGGGCCGGGACACGTGAAAATATGCGTGGCATGCCCTTATAGACTCAAAGAAGGGATTTTGGAATAATTAGAAAATGGGTTGAAGAAATGTGAGGAATTGACATTTCCTAGTCGCTGTCTTTCCAAAGTAGTGATTTTCAAAAGGGGGTGGCTGGCTGTGCCTCCCAGGGGACACTTGGCAATGTCTGGAGATGTCATTTGGTTGTCACAACCCCGGAAAGGACGAGCGAGTATGTAGAAGCCAGAGATGCTGCTAACCACCCTGCAATGCACAGGACGGCCCCCACCGGAAGGACTGCTCCTCTGTTAGCGCTGGAGTTCGAGGAGGAAGGCCCGGCTCGGGGAGTCAGCCAGAGCAGGGAAGACGAACAGGTGCCCTTAGGAATACTGCGGAGAGGAGCACAAAGACGCCTTGGAGATTCTGGATCAGAGATTGTGAGGTTTGCAGGTGAGGAGGCATGGGGACTCGAGGCGAGAGTAAGTACCAGAAGCGGAAATGAAAGAGTGGGCTACCTTCCTGGGGGTGTGCCTGCAGAAGGTTGGGTTTGGAGACACACCATTCAGTGCTGCGCCCGGTGAAAGGGTGAGTGGAGCCCCAGGCACCCTCTGTCTTGTGCTGTGCTTTGCTTTGGCAGAAAGGGTCACATCAGAGCCTGAGCACAACTCAGGGACTCGGGCTCAGGAAGCGGAGAGCAGTCTGGGGCAGACGCAGAGCCCGAGCCCAGGTGCCGCAGCTCGGAGAAAGGCGGCCGCACGGAGCTGTGTGCTGCGCCGCCCGAGACAGCGGAAACCACTCTGTGCCCCTCAGTGGATCTTCAGTCGCACCGACCAGCTGTTCTGCTTGCTCTCACTCCACACCGGGACCAGGTGAGGTCCCTGTGAGTAGCGTTCAATGTCACGTCTTCTAAGTTCTACTGCATTTCTGGCAGCGCTCCAAATGCAAATCAGCTCAGACATCACACCGAACCCCGAGTTCCAAAGGCCCCGGTGGGGAATGGCCAACACGTTGCGTACCGCTCTCGTTTTCCCTTCCCCAGTGCCGAGAAGACACCTCACCATGGCCCTCGCTTGCGCTGCACTTCAGAATCCCTCTCAACACAAGGTTCCAGGGACCTGCTGCCAGGGACAGAACCGGCAGCACGCCCTTGCAGCCCCGGCGTGACCTCCGCTTTGGAAATCCTCCGCAGACTGAACACCCAACTGGGGAAGGATTTCTATCCAACGCGCGCACCCAGCAGCGAACAGCACGCACCCTGTCCACCTGGTGCCCGTCTGCGTGGACGGGCCTTAAACTGAACACGCTGAACCGACTTTGGGCAGTACTGACCTTAAGCGCGTCCTGATTCTCGCTTCACAGTCTAAGGGGCGCCATCGCAGCCAGCACGGCAGGTGTATGTCCAAACCCCTCCCGCAGCGCTTGGTTCGGTATTAGATGCACAACGTTAGTTGCAGGCACAATTAATTCTTTTTTTTTTATGATAAACGGGGACCTCTTAGATATGAAAAGCTACCACAGTCCTACTTTGACCATAGCTGGACGACATGCTAAAGGATCACTTTACTCTTGATGAAAATAACTCATTGATGGTGTGTCCAATATCACACTGTAGGACCTCTTACCCCCGATGTTTCAATGTCAGGAATGGTTTCCAAGGCAGTGGCTGGGAGGGTCTGTGGCCTCCGACAGGCAAGGGTGTAGCGTTATTGTTAGACGCAAACGCAGTTACGGGGCTAAAAGACGAAGTGCGGTCCTTTCCGGCGGAGCGGCTGAAGTCAGCAAGGGGTTACACTCATTCTGACCACAGCTTCCGCGAGCGAGCTGCAGCGGTGGATACGTAAGCTCCCAGTGGGGCTGTGAGTGGATGACAATGCTCCGAACTCTCACAGGGAAAGAATGAAAACAAGGAGCATCTCTTCCTCCCTCTTTCGCATCGTTGTCCTTTCCCTGCAGCACGGATGATGAGGGTGCCTGGGATGGAGCGGAACCCCCCAGCTCCCTAACTTGATTTCGGTGGGTTCCTTGATCGCCGTCCCCATTTCTCCCTCCCCAACCTCCACCTATTGTCAAAATGTGAATTGTGAGACTTTGATTCCCTTTCCCTCTGCGAGTCCTGTCTGGAAGGTCTTGAAAAGCAGACCTAGAGGGGGGTTTCACAGGCTCCGAGGGCACCAGCCGGGACCTAGTGTTGCTAGTTGCCGTATTCTCCCTTTTCTCCCCCTGTGACCTGAAGGGTCACTTATTCCCATTATGGCCATAATGACCCATCACACTACCAAAGGCAAGTTTTCTTTCTTTCTGTTTGGGTCTCGTTCAAAGC